TATATGGCCATATTTACCACACATTTGGCACTGTGGTTTGCCAAACTGTTGATTAGTTCCAAGCTGTTGATTGGTTCTACGACCATTTCTACCAAAACGACCCCTGCTGTTAAAAAATCTGCCTCGATTAAAATTGGAGCCTCTACCAGAATTGTTTCCTTGAAACCTTCTGATGTTCATATGAGCTATGTTAGCTTGTACCATTCCAAGATCACTTTTCTTATGCTTTTCAGTTCTTTCTTCTTGAGCCATTAATAAAGCTTCAATTTCACCAACTTTGTACGGATCTGTTCTAGAAGTGACAGAAGTAATGAAAGGAGCATATTCTTCATTGAGACCATCAAGAATTGCATCAATATGCTCCTTTGTAGCAATTGAAGAACCTGTTGCTGCTAAAGAATCCACGATTTTCTTGATTTCCATCAAATAAATGGAAATTGAAGAAAATGAATCTTTCTTGATATTCTTCAGTCGAATTTTCAACTGCTTTACCTTGGCTCGAGTTTGAGAGGTAAAGAACTCTTGAAGTTTGCTCCATATTTGGAAGGAAGACTCACATCCTACAATTCTTGTGTGTAAAGATTTTGACATTGAAGTAAGTAACCAAGACATGAGAAGTTGGTCTTGCTGTTCTTCAAATCTTTCAACTTCACCAGTGATGAACCGTTGTAGGTTGAATCCTTTTATCGTTGCTAAAGTTTGTTGCTTCCATGGGAGAAAGTTTCCTTCTTCAAGTTTGAATGACACATGGTTAGAAAATGTATGGAGAGTATATTGAATTGGCTGGGTTGGCTGAGAATTTGGCTGAGCGGAAGAGTTTTCTGTTTCCATGGATCTTTGGCTCTGATACCATGAAAGGTATCAGAGATTAAGAGAAAGGAGAGTTTAGAGAGAAGAAAAACTGTATTGAATTGGAAAATCAGAATATTACATTGTGTTGGACTAAGTCAAGATTACAGATATATATATATACAGTTATGATTAGACTATCAATAACTGATAACTAACCAAATATGTTATAACTACCAAAGCTGACTATAAGGAGTTAGTTAATCATACAGCAGATGTTGACTCATCTATTCTTTCAAGAACCATGGATGATAGTTTGTGTAAAGACATTAAATTCTTGATTATCAGAAAAATAGAAAACAATTATTCTTTAACATTCCTAAATGATGGAATCCAAATTAATGTTCGAATGCAAATCTAACTCATCGGAATAGCCAAGTAAATAATCGTTGATCGATTTACCAAACAAATAAAAATAAGTACCGATTGAAATATAGATTAATTAATTTTGGAAGTTAATCAATGTTGGGCAGTTCAACTTAATTAAAACTAAAACTTCTGACTTCAAATTTCATATAACAATGAATAAGGTATAGTTATAGACAAGGAGGAGAATATCTTTTGCGAGTGTTATAGTGTACCTAACCTAACCAGGATTTATCATATTTACTATGGATTTCATTAGCAGTAGCTTACTATAATGTGTATAATACTACCTTAATGATAATTTTTTTTTAGTTTTGTCTCTCTGTATCCTTTCTTTCTTATAATAGGTTTAGATCTTTATATAGTTTTGTCTGTCCCTTTTTTATTTATTCTTTTAGAGGAAAGTTATACTTACAAATTTTTTTTACAACCTCTTACAACCATATCTTAACACCGTTGATTTCCGCTAATCAACGGTTATCATTTATTGTGAATTAATAATTAATTAATGAGTTTAATTTGCGAAAATCATAATCGTTGATTGGCGAAAATCAACAGTGTTAAGATACGGTTGTAAAAGATTTAAAAAAAAAGTTGTAAGTATAACCTACCTGATTCTTTTAATTTCTAACAATCTATAATCAAGTTTTGTTATCATAATTGTGATGTTAAACATATTATTTAAAATATTTCAAATGGGATCTCCTAGTCACAGTGCTCAAGGAATATATATATATAAAATAATAATAATAATAACAAATTTTACACCAAATATTAATTATTGATTTATTTACATCTAATAGCTTAAATATCTAATAAATCAGAATTATTAGATATAAAATATAATTTTCATCGGTGTTAAAAAATCCTGATATATATATATATATAATTGACACTGGTATAAATTACACTATTCATAAAATTTTAAATAACTTTTTGTTGGATAACTTTTTTCAAATTAATCATTAGATTGAAGGTTGATATCGTGTGTATATATATAATAATACACACATAGAATTTCACATCAATTTAAATTTATTTTGTATTTTATTTATACACATTGAAATTAACATAATACAAATTTTTGAAACATATAAAATTGGTATAAATTATCAACATCATACAATGTATTATTATTTACATAAATTGTGTTTCATATAATAATATGAAATTTTTTATTACAAAATATTAAGAAAAAAAATTCTTATTTTAAATATAAACCATCCGATATTGTTTCAAAATTTCTTATTTCAAAATCATATCATGTTATACATCAATTATAAAAACTTTTTTAAAAAAATGTAGGGTAGTAAAAAAATAATACACATATTATATTTTTAATTAAAAAATAATATATAATTATGCAAAGATTTAAATTTCTCACATAAATACATTGCAAGACAGGTGGCTATTTCATATAAAGCATCTCAGCCAGCTTCATGCCGGCTGTCTCCTGCAGATGATTTTTCAAACTTGAAGCCTACATCCATATTTTCTTATTTGGGTCCGTCGGTTCTCACGTGACTGTTGATGAGAAAAGTTGTAGCAAATTTTTAACATTAGGATACACGTGCGGATCCTAGGATACACGTGCGGAATCTATCAAAAAAAAAAAAAATCAGGATTCAGACGCGTATCCTGTGTTGCTGCACTTTTTCTCTTCTACAGTCACATAAGAAGTATTTTCCCCTGTTTTCTTTTGGGTTTATTATTTCGAAAGAAATAAATTTATTTCTTATATATATATAAAAGTACTATTTATTTTTTCTGTAATTAATATTGATAAGTTATTTATATTGAATCTAAAACGACATTGTTTTGGGATTATAATATCGTTTAGATAAAAATTAAGGTATTTTTATAATTATAATTTATTTCAGAATTTTAATAATTTTTCTCATTATAATTTTTTAATCTTTCACCCAAAATAACGTCGTTTTGAAAATGAATGTAAATAACTTATCTATATTCACTTTAAAAACATTAAAACCATAAAAGTATATGAAATTTATATATATATTTTTTTTTTTTTTCTCATATTGGATCATATGGACGCCACATATTTTTATGTATACAAAGGAGATAAATTTATCTCGTATAATATAAAAAATATTTTTTTTAATAGAAAACTAACTTTTTCACGTTTTGGTAATTTAGAAGATGAATTTGGTTAATAGGAAACAAGGGGGTGTTCTTTCCGCATCATTAAGGCATCTGCTTCAATAACAGACCTTTAGTTTAGATAGAATTATTATCTATATACGCTTTTGTCTGATTCCTTACTCTCTCTTTTTGGCTTACTTTCAACAGAAAAAACAAAACGCCATAATAACTTCTTTCTATCCAAAGAGCTACCTTCATTGACTAAGAAGGAGGCAAAACCCAAAAGATATGAAAGAGAACAAAATTTGATTTGGCCTTGTGAAACCCAGCTTGTAAATATTATTGGAATGTCAAAAGATCCACAGTTGTTAGTTAGTACTTCTTCAACTGTTTGATATAAGTTGAACTTTGAGGGCGGCTATAACTTCAATCATTACAAAAAAAAAATCAACTACATGGATCACCATCACCATCATCCTTATCTTTTTTCTTTTTTTTTATAATAAAATACTAAAAATAATGGTTTTTTTTAATCCTTGAATTGCAATCGCAGGATGTGCAGTTAAATTTTCAAGGTTAGCTGTTATGTTTCCGAACATATTTTATATGGAAAAAAGGTGTCTCATCTTAAATGACAGATTTTACGTCTTTTTATTTTTCATAAAAAGATGAGACTCACATCTTTAAAATTTCCCCCCTCACCCTCTCTCATCATGATTTATCTCTTTCTATCAGTTAAAAGGGATAAGTTATTTTACCTATAATTTTTTCTGCTTACCTTTGACTACCACTCTAAAATACCATTAGATCAGAATCTTAACTAACATTTATCTTTCTCTCTCTTCTTAAGATTCTGATCTAACGGTGTTGGAGGATGATAGGCAAAGGTAAACAGAAAAAATGATAAGTAAAATAACTTATCCCCGTTTAAAATGACATAATTTTTTGTCTTTCAAAATGATACACATTTTTTTCATTTTATATATGGAGATTACAAATCTCATTTTGTAAGAATTTTATAATTGCATGATATAGATATAGACTATATGGAATCCATTTTTTAAAAATAAATAAATAGTTATTTGTTCAATATGAATAAGAAGTGTATGTTATCTCATGTAATATAAGAAAAAAAAATATATATTTGGATAAACAAAAACATATCCATTTATATATAACACCAAATGACATGTTTTTAATTTTAATTAAGGGGTTAGGAGCTTTTTTTAATTATTATGTAATTATATTTTATTGTATAATTAAAACATTTTAACCTTTTCCAACAGAAACTGACTTAGCTAAACACCTTTTATGTCTATGATAATTACATAATTTGCGTTTGAATTAAATTTTTCATTAATAAATTATTTGTAAATGATTAATATCTATTATACTTAAAAGCTTGTCCTATTTTTGAATTAAGGCCATCATAATTATTTATTATTTTATAGTGAGGGGTGAGAGACGAGTAATTTAATATATATTTTTACACATGTGATTTAATTTTTTCACTTACTCCTAATGTGAATCTTGATAGCATATTAACCAAAAGCAACTTATTGGAGATTGACACTCAAACGACATCGTTGGAGGAATGCGAGGTTGAAGCTTGTTTCGGGCTTGATCCAGTGAGGTACATATCAGCCAATAATCTTCCGAACGAAAAGAAACCAATGACTAATTATTCCTCGAAAATAGAAAAAACACAAACGTGGTAAGACCAATTATTCACACACAAAAACACCCACGGTGGCTTCTTTTTGAATTTTGAGTGACCGTGGGGTTATGTTATCTGTGTGAAAAAAGAAAAGGGAAAAAAAACAACAACATGGGTTGGATTCCTTGTTCTGGAAATTCAAACACTAAGAAGAAGATTAAGAAGAAGAAGAAGTTGGAAGTGCACGATCCGATCAAAGCTACCCCGCCAGGTACTCATATTGTTTATTTTATTTTTATTAAATTGTGAATTGGCAAGCTAATTCTTTTACTCTTGGATCATAAATCGAATCGTAAGATTGAGAGAAAGTGAAAAATAGATTGAACTATGTGATTGATATAAATGATTTATAATGTTTAATGTAATAATTTTAAATCAGGAACTTGAAATTGATAAAACAACTTAAAAGTATAAGCTTCACGAAATAAGGTACACATAGAGCGAGTGAGTGACTGTAAAACCTTTGTTTCATAAGAATGAAAACATAGGAATGGAATAGCCAAACTGGATGCAGAGTGAGTGAGTGAGTGATTATGTGAAGTCCTTATTTTAGAATAATGAAAAGAGGGCAATGGAATTATCATAGTTCTCCTTTAGTTCCGTTTCATTTAATAGTTTAAGCCTACTTGACTTTTCAATTTCTTTTATATATATATATATATATATATATATATATATATATATATATATAGGGGTAAAATCATTTGACATTGATGTCAAATTTAAAGTTTGACATATAATCTTAGAGCCGTTAGTTAGATAAAAAAAATCAATGATGTCACATGCTTACAGATCAAAGTTATTGATTTTTTTTATCTAATGGCTCTCTTATGAGATGTCAAAGGATCCTACCCCATATACATATATATAGGTAAAATCATTTCTGCAGCCGCTTTACGTACAACAACGACAGGTGTATGGTTATGATGATTCCCCTCATTTAATGCTTTCATCTTTTTTGTGGTTATGATTCTCTGCATTTAATGCTTTCACGTAATATATGGCAAGTATTTAATTGCTGCACTTACAATAGCTGCAAAAATGTAAACTCCATATATATATATATATATATATGAATCATCGAATCGTATTGGTGAATGGTGATACAAAATTACACCGCCTCAAGCATGTATTGTGTGATTCAAAGCCATGCTGGATTCATCATATGATACGAATAGCTGGCTTGCTAAATTGCATCAAATGGTGCGATTCTAACAACTGTATTATGTTTTATCCTTATATTTGACACATTAAGTTTCTTTAATCAGTGTAATAACAGCATTGGTTCAGGTAATTCTATGAGTCACAGCATACAATAGACCAAGTTAATATACTTCCCTGAAATTATCGTATCAGTTATCTTAGTACTTGTTATTTGAGTTGTTTTCTTTCAGCTTATTGGTTTTCTCTCACTTACAAAGTATATATAGCTTGTTTAAAATTGTACTATTGATGGTAATTTTGAAACGATCCGTCCTTTGAAGCAAAATCAGTCTTTGATTCTTTCTGGGAATCGGAAAATGAAGCATGCCGTATGGTGCTTTCTGATTCCAAGAGATTGAAGGAACATTGATTGGTCATAGATATTAAATCTAAACCTGCTGTGGTTTATGCTTCTCACCACTTAAATCGTTAGCCTTTGGAATTGAGTGCAGGGAAATTGAAGAGGAATTCATCTATAAATTCCAAAGATTCCTCTAAAAGTGGAAACCTTGATCACATTGCTGCACAGACATTCTCATTCCGTGAGTTGGCAACTGCAACTAGAAACTTTAGAGCAGAATGTCTTTTAGGCGAGGGAGGCTTTGGCAGAGTATACAAAGGGCGTCTGGAAAATATTAATCAGGTTAGTCTGTTTCTCGTTATTTCTTTGTTTATGAAGAATAGGATAAAGTTGCAGGGAAATGAAGTGATACTTCTTTTTCTTTATTATTCATCTTTTCTCCCTTATCCATGTTGCTTTATTCTGATAGCGAGAATAATAGCTTGTAAGTTTTGCCAGCATGGAAATTGGCTTTAATTCTGTGTAGTTTGAGTTGGCAAAACATTTTATCCTTTCTAATGTTGAATGTAGATTGTTGCAATTAAGCAACTTGACCGAAATGGGCTGCAAGGGAATAGAGAATTCCTCGTTGAAGTGTTGATGTTAAGTCTTCTTCACCACCCTAACCTTGTCAACCTGATTGGTTATTGTGCTGATGGAGATCAAAGGCTTCTAGTTTATGAGTATATGTCATTAGGATCCTTGGAAGACCACTTATATGGTATTTATATTTCAAATTTGTATATTATTTCTTTTCTCTTCTTTCAATTTTGTAGATATTGTTAATATATGCTTGATCTGCAGATATTTCTCCTGGCAAGAAACGACTTGACTGGAACACACGAATGAAAATTGCTGCTGGGGCAGCAAGGGGATTGGAATATCTACATGACACAGCTAACCCTCCTGTCATATACCGAGATTTAAAGTGCTCCAACATTTTACTTGACGAAGGGTATCATCCAAAGTTATCTGATTTTGGTTTGGCTAAACTTGGCCCAGTGGGGGAGAACACCCATGTATCCACAAGGGTTATGGGCACCTATGGATATTGTGCTCCAGAGTATGCAATGACAGGTCAACTGACTCTAAAATCAGATGTTTATAGCTTTGGTGTAGTTCTTCTGGAAATAATTACTGGAAGGAAAGCGATTGACAATTCAAAATCTGCAGGAGAGCAGAATCTTGTTGCATGGGTAAGAAACTCATACCATTATCTTATCTCATATGTCCTTCTGATGATTTAAAAACAGGAGAGCAGAATAATGAATTGTCAAATTTCTGGACAGTTTCATTCGCTTACTAATGGTCAAAAAGTTGTCAGTGTGGATTAAATAAGGAGAGGTAAGTATTTCCATATATTAATTGGCCATGCTCGGAAAACTTTACCTACATAATTGTACCTGAGATTGAGAATTTGTGGTAAGAAATCATTTCCATTCAAGTAGTTTTTTAGCTCTTGGTCACCCATTAATTAAAAGTACGTAAAAAAAAACACTCCCCATTAAACCCTGACTAGCGAGTGTAGAGTGAGAACAATTCTTGTACGTAACCTTACCCTTGTATATTTACAAAGAGGTTGTTTCCTAATTTCAAACCTATAACCTTTCAATAATTAAAAGTACCAAGATGTGGTATAAATTTAAAGATGTACAATGTTTTGAAAGAAAATTTCTGTCATAGTGATTCTGAAAGTCCATTCTGTTGATATATTCTTCTTTGAGTTCTTTTTTCTTCCCTTCTAAATAAATTCTTCTCGCAAAAAGAAATTCCTTTACTGTGATGTTGAACCTGTGAAGGTAGTGGTCAAAGTTTTGCATATCCCATAAACTCTTTGACTGACTTTTGCACAGTCAGTTGTGATATTGAAATTTGATATTATGACTTGGTCCTTATTTGAGTAATTTTATTAAAACTTTAGTCGTCACTTTGGGATGGATTACTCTCATTTAATTGCAGGCTAGACCCTTGTTTAAAGATCGAAGAAAATTTTCACAAATGGCTGATCCAATGCTCCAAGGTCAATATCCTCCAAGAGGGTTATATCAGGCCCTTGCTGTTGCAGCAATGTGTGTTCAGGAGCAGGCCAATATGCGTCCAGTTATAGCTGATGTTGTCACAGCTTTGAGTTACCTTGCTTCACAAAGATATGACCCCAATACACAGACAGTACAAAGCTCTCGCCTTACTCTTGGTACTCCTCCTAGAACCAAGAGGGGACAGTGATATGGAGCTCAGTGTTTGTTGGCTATATGATTGTGTGGTGCAAATACCCAACATACAACACACTGCAAGATATAGGTTTATAGATGTTAATACCAGTTGTCCTATGGTGGTGTTTTCTCAGTTTAGAGTAGAGTTGCTAAAAATGTTGTGAAAATTTTTGTTCTACTTCTGGTGCACAGAACTGCTCCGATTTCCATTTGGAGCCAAGATGGTATTTCCACTTTCTTTTCCCTGAATTTCTATTTAAGAGCAAATTACTGGATTCATGATTCATATTCCTTCTGTCTAGGCAATGGTTCCCCATGTGTACTCGCATTCCATAGTTATCTATTCTTCTATATCCTTGTTGCTGTATAGTTATGAAGCTCTATAGAAATGTTGCTTTTTTAATCAAGAAAGTATGTATATATTGTGTTCTGCCATACTTTCAAGTCTTTGGAAGTTTATCTGGTCGTGTAACTTGTATCATCATGGCTTTTAAATTTTCTAGAATTTCAACGCTTACTGAAATTGGATCGAACCTAAGAATTATGGAACTTACAAGCATATAATACATGACAAGTAATAGATACTGTAACACATCGTTTTTTTTTTTAACGTCTAGTTTTATCTACTCTCTCATATTACATTCCATTAAATAAACTATTGTACACAGTCAAAATTGAAAACTTAGTGGGTAGGACCAAAAAACAATTTACCGTATTACTGTCTTATAATTGGGAAAGCTCATGCTCGTTTTCTTCATTACGGTATTTTGTTGAACAAAAGAGCCCTCACTAACCAGGATTGGATGGTTTTTACAGTAAATACATATTTTAGTCAAGTATAATGAAGTTCGACACTCAGCAGTAGCAGCACATTTTATTTTTTTATATATAAAGGAAAGATCCGTTTACAAATTCTTATAAATTGCACTATGTTCTTTTGGGAGAAGATAATGTAACTAATGTTCTCTCAGGAGAAGATAGTGTAGTTTGTAAGAGTTGGTAAACAAAAAAGTTTGTAAATATAACCTGCCTCATATATATATATATATATATATATATATATATATATATATATATATATATATATATATCAATCTTGACTATTAATTTATTTGTATCTAATAGCTCACATGTCTAAAAAATTATAGCCGTTAAATAAAAATGAGATCAACGACTAAGATTAATAATATAACTTGTACTAATATAAAATAATACTGACCATTGAGCATGCATATATAATAAGGCACGGCACGGTTGTTTCGCTTCAGTAAATGAGGTCATGTTGTCAACAATGGTTTCAAAGACAGAATATACCTTCTACAGCTATTTGATCTATAAACAAATAAAATATTCATTACATCTGACTTTAATCTAGTTGAATGAATAGTCAAAATAGAGGGGAGTAAAAAATTAATATTCCTAAGTATATAAAAAAAAAATTAATATTCCCATTTGGATTTTGATGATGATACATATGGACTCTTACCCTATCTTTCGGCCAACTATCTGACATAATCAATAAAGAAAATTGAGCAGTGATAATCAGAAACAAGTAACAACTGCTAAGTAGGCAGGAGAGCACCGGGTTGTGGGGTTCCAGTGACATTGCTCTTCATGATCTATCTATCTTCTTCTTGGTTATTGGATTCTTTTCTCGGAGTGACATTGTTATGCAAACTTTCGCAAGATTCCTCAGCATTAGGTTTTCCCTGTTTCATAGGGTGCGTAAGGGATAATCTTTACGAACAAAAATAAGCTTCTAGTTGCAGAAAAATGGCAAAGGCCATCCAAATGGACATATTATACAATTTGGGAATACCTCCAAAGATTAATACCTCAAACAATAAATAGAAAATTTTTATAATCGAGACAAGAAGATGAGAGTTCAAATAACTTTTTAGTGAATTCAATTTTAATGCCAAGGAATTTCCAGTCGGACTGGCATGCAATCAAATGGTGAATTCTTCTGAATTGGATTTAGCAACCCATAAGCATAATCACGTGTCCTCTGATTGAATACAAGTCATTGGGAGATGAAGAGTGGACATAGAAAAGATTTTACCTTGTTTCTGTCACGCCAGCCAAGTCCAAAACCTAGTAGACCAATCTTCCGTGTGGGGTTTTCTAATCTTGGGCTTTGTACACGACCAGCCCTACAAGAATATTACTAACGAAATTGATCCAGAAGAATGTGATCTCTAACAATAAATGTATGTAGCACATGTCACATCATATGCAAAATGCTCTTTGCATTGGCATCCTTGCCCCACAAATCCATGGAAACTGGGTTATGTCAAAGTCAAAGGACTAAAACAACAGAAAACACATTATCAAGGGTGAAGTTAGTGAGTATTAGCAGCCGCAACTTCTAAAATCAAGCTTACAACCTATATTATAAATAATATTTGAAGATTTCCCATAATACGATCAAAATAAGAATGGCTAATCTTCATTTTAATGTAGTTTGTTAATTTGGAGAGTTATTTCCAGTTCAGAACTGGAGAAGCTTGAATTATGATATTTACCAAGAGACTTCAAGCCTTTCCCTGAAGCCTTGGCTGGCTTCATTTCTATTCAATTCATCAAGGGTCCTCAAAACCATAAGGCTAATTCTTAAAAATTATCCTGCATTTCATAGTTTATTAAGTACAGCATAAAAGAAATATTTAACTTTTCAGTTTTTCCATGCAATATGGGTAGTTATCAGAGGCTGCTGTTTTCGTCTAGTTCAAACCAGGATAATTATCTAAATTATTTTATTTAATTCTTTATCAAGGAAAAAGGCAAAAATAAATCCAGAAAATACTAAACATATTACAGAGTTTGTGACATCAAACTTCTGAAGCAGGTTTATGTAATTATGAATCAATGCTCAAATTTGTGATTCATATAGTCTTGAGATATCAAACTCCCAGAGCTTGCTAAGGGAAGTTACAACAGGCAATAACTACAATAATTTGGACTAGGAGAGGATAAAGTTACATGCAGAATCTAAAATGTGACATCTAAAATATTTGTACCTTGGAGAAGAAACCGCTTTGGATTGGCCAGATTCATATTGAAGGGTAGCCTCCAACATACTTTCTGCCATAACAACCCGCTTTTGCATCTCTGCTACTGATGCCATAGCCTTCTCATATTTTTCCTGCATATTTATTATACTGGAAATAGATATAATCATGCCTAGTAAGATCCTTAATAGTTAGCACAACGTGATTGCTTCTTTCTCTCAGGGAAATATATCTACCCATCCTATTAGAAATAGAAAGATCTTCAATGCCATGGACATGCTGAGGGTATTTGGATCAAAACAAAGATAATGGGGAAAATTCGTATTTAACAATTTGTAGAGGCAATTAACTTTGTTCAGTTTAGCCAAAACATAAAAAAAAATAAAAAAAAATAAAAGGAAAGAAAACCTTCTTCTACAGCCCATTGTGAACAAAATACATCCAAATTGCAAAGAATATTTTCTTTTCCATGAACATTAGCAAGAGAAAAGGTATGAGTAAATTTATTAGATTTAACAACAGATTTTGGGTATATCCGTTATTTTAATTACTCAACTACTTATGCTTGCATTCATTCTTTCAGGCAAAAGCATCAATAGGGATATTGCTTACAAAGTTGCACGTGAAACATTCAGAAGAGTACCCAAACTAGTAAATTGAGCATTACAGATATCATGTCCTTCAGTTTTCAACGAGGATCCTTTCTCAGTGTCATCATAATTCACAAATCAAGTCATTATCGTAAATTTATTATTTTTTTGGAAAACATTGAGATGATATTCTAAGCATGTTTCTGTTTAAGAATTTTACACCACTCTACAGCAAACTGTAAAAACAAATGACCAGAATCACAATGATCATAAGACCGGAGAGAGGTTACCTGAAGCATGTGAACTTCATATTTCTGAGCTGCAAGTTCTTGCTCTGCTTTTCTGCGAGCATCTTCAGTAACTTTTTGGTCCTGCTCTAGCCGCATTAAGACCTGTAGCATGCAGGAGATTTCAAAGTTTTCTATACAACATATAAAGACATTTTTCTTAATTTCTATTTTCTTATTCATTTTTGCATATAAGCTTACAGAAATAGACACTGGAGAAAACAGGTGCACACTAGAACCTGCAGCATAGCAGCTTCTTGTTCTTTCTTATCAGCAAGGGCTTGTTGTAGCTCAGCTACCTCCTGCTCCAATTGCTCAACCTGCATGCTCACAAATATTTTTGTAAACCTTGCAAGCCAAATTACCAGAAAAAAAGATTTTTAGAGAAGAATAAATCATAATACTTGGATACTGAACTAGCTTTCCTACTTCCTAGTGTTTGTGCCTTTTATGGGGTTAAGTAAAAATCCTCTCCGCTGATTGAATGATTAAATGATATTTAAGTTAACTTATTTATATTATTTACACTAATATATGTCCAGGCATGGTTTTAGTATAATGGTGTCTCCAAGATATACACCTTAATAAAAATAATAATAAAATAGTTGGTTAAGGTTAGTGTGTACTTATGTTGAGTTTCAAAATTTCTCCCTATTTTCTCACTGTATTCTAAAGAAAAATCCAGATTGGCATGAAGAAAAGTGAGTTCATGTCAAGATGCGATTAAGGATAAAGCACAACATATTTCATAGTAATAATTTGATTCAAAGGTATACATTAAAAAATAAACAGCAATGTTTTATACCATAACATTGAATTACATGATAAGGAAGTACTGGGGCTTGCATATCAATGTCAGCAGCAGTAAATTTATAGAAAGTACAGTACAATTTAATATATTAGAAGTTTCAAATATATCAAAATCAATAACCAAATACTACTAGGTGGGACTGGCTGCATGGATCAAGTGATGCCATTCAGATCTATCAAAAACCCAAATTTTCAATAAATCCATTCAGAGTAAGGTCTTTTTGTAATGGTTTTTCCTCAAGTTTATTTTAGTCTTCTTGTACCCTCGTTATTCAGACTATATTCCATTTGATCCACCTTTTGCAAAAGGAAAGATACATGGGAAAGACGAGAACAAGGGGAAATAATGATTTTCTATTTTTACAAATTTAATAAGTAGTGTAGAAAATCAGAATTCAAACATGTTTCCGTTTTTATTTCCTATTAATTAGGATTGATTATGATTGATTAGGATTGATTGTGATTAGGATTGATTAGTCATCGCTTAGTCATTCTTAGTGATTCTTTCTTGTATAAATACTCACTCATGTAAATTATTCAAGATCAAAATACAAAAACTTCTTTTCAATATGGTATCAGAGCGGGTTTGTTCCTACCTAATTCAAATCTGAAATAACCATCCAAACACTTCCATTGAATCTGTCCAACACAGAAACCTAGTCTACTGACCTCCGATCAAGAAAGTGAGGTGACCATTCGACTCAGAAAGGATCCGACGAGTCGACCGCCGTTGGACCCATCGCCGTCAACCGCCGCACGCGCCGCCACGCGCCGTCACACGCGCGGCCAGTCTCCGGCGCGTGAGCTCCACGCGCCGCCTTCCCAACGTCTTTTTCCGCCGCGACTTGCACAGACCTTCTCGCCGGCTTCTCCCCTTCCTGTTCCAGAGGTCAGATCAAAAATTTACAAAACTTGATTTTTCATCAACGGTCAACCCTTCTCTTTCTATTCATGGCTTCCTCAAAACACTCTTCCGCCTCCTCATCACCCCTTCCTAAGGCCACTAGTCATGTGGTCCAGCAAGGTACAGTTTTCCATGTTGATAGTCAAAATCATTGGATCCTTGATTCTGGAGCCTCTAATCATATGACAGGTAATCTTGGCTTGTTTTGTTCATACACTCCATATTCTGAACCTTCTCGGGTCAAGATCGCCGATGGCAATTTTTCCCAGATTGCGGGACACGGAACCATTAAACTTTCTGAGCTGATTACTTTGACATCAGTTCTTTATGTTCCTTCTCTGACTTGTAATCTCATTTCCATTAGCAAGCTCACCTCTGAGTTGCATTGCTTTGCTAAATTCTTTCCACATGGTTGTGTTTTTCAGGAACAGGACTCGGAGAGGATGATTGGCAGTGCTAGAGAGGATGGTGGACTTTACTACTTTGAGGAGGATGTGACTCATGAAGCTGTTTTCGTAGAAAAAACTCTATGTTTCCTTTTGGTTCATGTAATGATGTTATGCTGTGGCATCGTAGGCTAGGCCATCCAAATTTTATTTATCTTCAGAAGTTGTTGCCAAACTTATTTATTAATAAAAGTCCAAGTTTATTTTCTTGTGATATTTGTCAACTTGCCAAGCATACTCGTGCTCATTATCCTTCTAAAGTTCACCATGACTCTTCCCCATTTTCCTTAATTCATAGTGACATATGGAGTCCAGCCCGTGTTAAAAATATTTCAGGTACTCGATGGTTCATTACCTTCATTGATGACCATTCTCGAGTCTGTTGGGTGTATCTTCTAAAGGATAAGTCTGATGCTGCATCCGTGTTTAAAAAATTTCATGCCATGGTTCAAACCCAACTCCAAGTTGCTATACAAATTCTTCGTACAGATAATGGCAAAGAGTATTTTAACTCTATTCTTGGAGAATATCTTTCCCAACATTGCATCCTTCACCAAAGCTCGTGTCTTGACACACCCCAACAAAACGGTATCTTCCCTTCCTTCCGAGGTGTCTCCTCCTTACCTCTCAAGTTATTTGGTTGCGTTGTATTTGTCCATATTCCCTCTCATCAACGGTCTAAGCTTGATCCTAAGTCTCTTCAGTGTGTCTTTATTGGTTATTCTCCTACTCAACGTGGCTATAAATGTTATTCACCCTCTCTTCGTAAGGTCTTTGTCTCTATGGATGTCACTTTTTCTGAGAATGACCCTTTCTTCCCCTCGACTTCTCTTCAGGGGGAGTCTATAGGAGTAGATGAAGATCAGTCATGGGAACCTACTGATGCCACAGTATTACCTCTACTTTTGGAAACAGGGGGAGCTACAAAATTCTCACCATCAAGAGCCTCCTCAAAATGGGGACAAGTTTATAGCAGGCGAAAGCCTCCTCAAAGTGTGAATAACCCAGAGCCTCTACACTGCCAGGATTCTGAACCATGTTCTAGTTCCAGCACCCCAATACTTGAGTGTCATGGTGAAAATGATCTACACTTGCCCATTGCTCTCAGAAAAGGTACTCGATCTTGTACTACGCATCCTATTTCTAATCATATTTCATATGGAAAGTTGTCCCCAGGGTTTCGTGCTTTCAATACTATGTTGGATAGTACAAAGATACCGAGAAATATACACGAGGCTCTCAATGATAAAAAATGGAGGGATGCTGTCTTTGAAGAAATGAATGCTTTAGAAAGAAATGGAACTTGGGAGATAGTGACCCTACCCGAAGGAAAACAGGCAGTAGGATGCAAATGGGTGTTTACAATAAAATTCAATGCAGATAATAGCATCAACAGATACAAGGCAAGATTGGTTGCAAAGGGTTTCACTCAGACTCATGGGATAGATTATCATGAGACTTTTGCTCCGGTTGCTAAAGTCAATACCATCCGAGTTCTCTTATCTCTTGCTGTCAATCTAGATTGGCCTCTGCAACAGTTAGATGTGAAGAATGCATTCCTAAAGGGTGACTTACATGAAGAAGTCTATATGGATCCTCCACCTGGTTTTGAAAAGGGAAATGGATCAGTGTGTAAACTAAAAAGGTCTCTATATGGATTGAAACAATCTCCCAGAGAATGGTTCGACAAATTCACACAAGCAGTCAAAAGAAGAGGCTTCATTCAAGCACAGACTGATCATACTCTCTTCCACAAACACTCTAAGGATGGTAAAATTGCTATTCTTATTGTATATGTAGATGATATAATTCTTACAGGTGATAATATTGAGGAATTGAACACCTTGAAGAAATTTCTAGCAGCTCAATTTGAACTCAAAGACCTTGGCACTCTCAAATATTTCCTTGGTATGGAAGTTGCTAGGAGCAAAACAGGCATCACTCTAACACAAAAGAAATATGTTCTAGATCTTTTGTTGGAAACAGGAATGTTAGGGTGTAAACCTGCTGAGACACCTGTGGAACCTAATACCAAGTTGGGTATTGAAGATGAGAATGAGGTGGAAAAAGAACAATATCAGCGATTGGTTGGTAAACTAATCTACTTATCTCATACGCATCCTGACATTGCCTTTGCGGTGAGTATGATTAGTCAATTCATGCACTCACCCAAGGAGAAGCATCTTAGTGCAGTCTATAGAGTGCTTAGATACCTCAAGAATACTCCAGGAAGAGGATTATTCTTTAAAAAGGGGTATAAGAGGACAATTGAAATCTACACTGATGCAGATTGGGCAGGCTCATCAGTAGACAGGAGATCTACCTCAGGCTATTGCACCTATGTGTGGGGAAATCTTGTTACTTGGAGAAGCAAAAAGCAAACAGTGGTTGCAAGAAGTAGTGCTGAAGCAGAATTTCGAGCTTTAGCTCATGGAGTTTGTGAAGGAATCTGGTTGAGAAGACTTCTTCAAGAGTTGAAGATTTCCTATTCCCTACCAATAAAACTATATTGCGACAACAAGGCAGCTGTTGACATTGCTCAAAATCTTGCGCATCATGATCGAACAAAGCACGTGGAAGTTGATCGTTGCTTCATCAAAGAAAAATTAGATAATGGAAGTGTGCGTTTGATATATGTTCCAACCAAAGAGCAAACGGCAGATATCCTTACCAAGGGCCTACACCGTCCAACATTCGAAGACTTGATTGGCAAGTTGGGAATGATCAATATTTACCTCCCAACTTGAGGGGAAGTGTAGAAAATCAGAATTCAAACATGTTTCCGTTTTTATTTCCTATTAATTAGGATTGATTATGATTGATTAGGATTGATTGTGATTGATTAGAATTGATTGTGATTAGGATTGATTAGTCATCGCTTAGTCATTCTTAGCGATTCTTTCTTGTATAAATACTCACTCATGTAAATTATTCAAGATCAAAATACAAAAACTTCTTTTCAATAAGTAGAAATAACCTCGACAAAATACCAAAAAAATAAAAAGAAACACAGCAAGATCAATCATCTGAATGTTGGATATACCCTTGCACTCAATTCCAGACGATTATCTTCCTTCACCATCTCCATTAAAGCTGTTTCTAGCTCCTCAGCTCTGTTCAAGGTTGGAAATACACACATGGAAATGAATTAATTGCCTTCATAAGGTATCATGACAATCTCACAATACTTAATTGAATAGATAAAGTTTTATACTAACAAATCAACATGGGGAATGAAGGGGGAAAGATACAAATAGAACATCAAAAGCACTAAATGCAATGCAATATAAAAAATAATTAAATGCTTTGATTTACAAGCAAGAAGACCTGAATGGAATATAAAGTGAGGAAACAAAATGAAGAATATTCACAAATGGTTCAATAATGTGGCACTCTGCGATGTTCTAGGAAGATGCATCTATCGTTTCGTTGGTTGAGAACTATTTCCAAACCCGCACTTTTTGGGCTTGATTTGAACATGATCATTGGAAATTCTGGAAGAACTTTCTTATGGGTAGACTTTGAAATACTCTATCAGCAGCAGATAGGAGAGTAAACAGGGTTTAATTGAATTGGGTGGTTGAACTGGGTAAATTCCCTCATGAACTTAACTTATCCAGCAATTATATTCTAGAAACCTTCTTGCAAATTTATAAGTAGCAGGCTGAAGAAGAAATCAAGTTGTCTTAAAAGATCTAGAATTAGAATATGAACACCAAAAAATAATAACCTGAGTATGGCAGATCTTTTCTCCTCCATCAATCTGCATAACTCAACCTTCAACCAAACCACCTGCACAGAAGATGTTAATGATTGAAACTTAAAGAGAGTTGCAGAAGAATTTGTTATAATAGAGCAACTATTTATTGGCGAAATACTTTCAGATGACTAATCCAAAACTAAGCCAGGAAATAAGACTATGAAATGTCATGATTGTAATATGATTTTCAAATTTAGGCCATTGAGAATATGTAATTTGACTAATGAAGTTGTGGTTGAAGCGTCAAGAAGACTTGTGTCACACACAGCCAGACACATTGGCAGAATACAATAGATTATGTTTGACGACTACGCCATTTGGAGAACAAATTAACAATAAAAACCCTCCATCACCCTACATATAAATGTCAATTGATATACAATGATATATTACATTCTCAATAATTGCATACTTTTACAGGAAGCATATGGTGAAATTTCAAAATGTGCTTTCATTAAACATATTTCATTTGTAACAATAGTGATCCTCCATTTTCTTTAAAAAAAATCAAATAAGTTAGCCCTACATTTATAAATAGCATGCCAAGTTTCTAACATTTAAAGTATATATTTAGTTAACAAAATAATGTGCACAATGATCCTCTATAAATTAATTTATACAAAACAAAGTTGCACCAAGCATTTAATCCCATTATTTGTCAATTAGACAGATAATAATACTATAAACAGCAATTTTATTATCTCTTTAAGTAAATCAATGAAATAATAAAGAAACCCCTACTTTGATGCATAGATAATTATTTCCATACAAGGCAAGCCTTTTTATAAAATATTGAAAGCACATTTATATCTTGTTAGAAATGAACTACATGTAGCTCAGTTATAACTTCTGTTAGACCTCTGTAAATGACTTGGAGGTAGTTAGACAGTTGTCACCAACTTTATCTAACTGTATAAATGTAAGAACACATCACTATATTCCTTCAGAATATGAAATACACAAATTTAAGAAAACACTTCCCAGTTTACTCTTCTCTATATATTTCTCAGCCTCTAATATTTATACTGAGAGATTCCCCCACCCCGTTCTTTTATTTATCAACCACCATTTTGGTTAACTAATAACTGGAAATCAGAGAAAGACAAAATACATGGTGACTTTAGGGTCTAAACTCTAAAGCATACGAAAATTTTCAATCTTCAAAAGTACAATTTTGTGATGCATAAGGTCTAATTTTATAGAAATATAAAATTTAAAAATAAGAGCCAGCATGTGTCAGAGATAATGATTCAGTATCATCCAATTTGAGTTCCTTTTCAATCTTTTAAGAGGAACTGAGTCAAATGATATATCACAGACAGATAGAGTCATAACATGACAGCAAAAACTGCAAAAAAATGCTGAACTTAATTAATCAAGCATGTTATGACCTACAGAAAATTACTCTTGTTCAAATTAAGTGTATGATTTCAGAGTGTAAACAGTGCAAACACCTTTTACCACTATCAAGTTGACCTGATTCAAGATAGAACAAGACGAATAAGACACACCTGGAAGGCAAAATTAACATACTAAGGTGGATTTATACGTCAAATTAGAGTAAATGGTAGACAAGTTTTCGATCTACTTCACAATCAGCCATTTTTTCTGGGATGAGAAGGTTAATGTTGAGGTGTAGAGGAAGTAACCTGTTCCTGGAGATCTGGTAGAGAATCCACTTCTGAATCAACATTGAGGCTATTAAGCAGTTCATCTAAATTAGAGGATTGGGACTCTAAAAGTACATCTTTATCAGCTACTATATCACCTCCTTCAGTGTTTTTTCTTTCCTCAACCACTGACCCTGGGTCATGCTTGAAACTGTACAGTTTAGACGCAAGCCCTTTGGAATCTTTCCAAACCCGTCCCTTCCTTGACCTTTCTTCTATAACAACTAATACAGATGGACGGTGTTTTTCTCTCAGTTCCTGCAACCTTGCCTCTGTCACAGCTAGATAACCCATACAAGCAGTAAAGACAAGCTGGCTGCTATCAAATGTTGAGCCAGCAAGTGATTGTAAAAGAGTAATCGCATCACCTGCTTCTTTTGTAGTAACTAATGCAGGACCTAGAATAAGAGATAAAAAAAATCATTATTTTAAATAAGACAGATGAAAATCTAATTTAGTTTACTACTAACACATATTAGTCTGCACAGATCAGACTCACAAAACACAGGAAAATACAATTCAATACCATATAATTCCATTAGAGCCAATGCTGTTCGAAAGAGCATAACACGGTTCCCTTCAAATAGCAGCACATCCCAAACTCGAAGAACTAAGATGGAGAAACACAGAATAAGGAAACATATTTAAGAATATATCAAGCTCAAAATTAATGATGTGATATTAAAAGAGAAAAATAATAAAATAAAATTCACTCCATATAAATCTCACCACTGTCCCAAGGAATCATGTTCACAAAGATTGATAGAAACCAAGGTCCAGATATCCATGCCACCTGCACTCCCAAGTAATCCAGATGATTAACTGCACCAAAAGTATCAACAGAATAAAAAAAGCTATCCAATCTGATTCATAGAGACAATTATAAGAAGATTAATAAAGAGCAAAGGTGTTAAGTACAAACCAAGTTTAGGAAATCTTTCACGCATCAGTTCCTCAAAAACAAGCTGGTCCACCTGACAAATTAAAAGCTTCTGTGACTGAAAAGAGAATTTCGAGTCCCTCAACACTACAATTATCAAACAGACATACAAGTCTGACTCAGGAATCAGGATAAATAATTTTTCTTATGTTTTTTAAGACAGAAAATTGATCCATACCTGGGATTCTATCATTTCCTCGGTATAATAGCCTTCAAAATAATCATCAATTATGCCAACGAATGCCCTGAAATATCCTAATAAAACAAATTAGCTAAGCTAATCATATTTTATGTAGACAATGTTTTTAAAAGACTGAGTTTCCCTAATCAGTTACCAAAAGATAAAATTGATGGAAGTTTACTCCATGGAACAATTGTATATTTACTGGAAAAAAATTAGCTAAGCTAATCATATTTTATGTACACAACGTTTTTAAAAGAATGAGTTTCCCTTATACTGAGTTACCAAAATATAAAATTGAAGGAAGTTTACACCTTGGAACAATTGTCTGTACTGGAAAGAGGGGCAGACAAGGGAAAAATATAAGACAAGTTTCCCAAACCTACCAAAAGGCATTTTCTTCTGGCATAAGAAGCAGCAATATACCAGCAAAGAAATTCATTGCCTGCATGTATTCCAATAACAAAAATTAATGACAAAGAATATGATAATGATGATGATGACAATAATGAAGAATACCACCAGTTAAGAGATTATTAGATACCCTCAACACTACCACCACCACTAACACCCCCACCCCCCAAAATAAAATAAAATAATAATAAATAAATAAATTAGAAAGAAAGAAAGCAAAACCTATGGAAATGCAAAGATGGTCAACAATCAATAGTATATATCACACCACATATTGAATAGGACACATGGAATGTTTCAATTAGCTTTTGCTAGAGGCTTTAAACATTCTATAATTTTCTAGCAATCAAATGCCTGAGGTTTGAAGGAGGCACTCACTTGAAGTAGGAACCCTGAAAATCTTTCAGAAGATATATTACATACAGAAATGCATTAATATATTAAAGGCTTAAAGCTTATACCAAAAGTAAATGAAAAGGAAGACACTCTTAATGTAACAAACGATCATCAAAATTTAGTAGGCAAAGTTTAGCAGACCACTAGTAACAATGTTAATGATCCAGCTGAAAGCCTTCAGCTATAAGTTGAGGAGACCTGATTAGTATGAAAAATATATACCAAAGTTTAAGTTGATTCCTAAGTATTGTCTCTGTTTTAGCCTTATTTTCTGTTTATTCTTGTGGTCAACCCTAGGACCACCGTATGGAATCTTAACAAATCCCACAACCAGATATACTAAAGCAACCTTCCATGACCCTCACTTTACTGACAAACAGCAAGTTATAGGTACATATAAATACGTATATATTGACATGGCTTGTCCAAGCTTCTTATCCAGACAATGCTAAAAGGTCAGTATCAAGTAACTACTAATTTTATGTGATCTTTAAAAACGTAATGCCCACCTTGAGCATAGTTCACAATAGTCATAGAAGCATAAAAAAAATAAAAAATAAATGATGGCCTTCTTGACAAAAATTGATTTGCAAACTAGTTGTTTATAGTATACTACATAAGTCAGACACAGCATTTTGAAGTTCTTCCAGACTAAACCTGTTTTTGTAAAGTGCATTGCCATAGATCACAAAAATTTTGGCTTCTTATTTTGACAGTATTTTTCTTGTTGTGCATTTCATTTTCAAGAACAGCAGTCCATTATCAAAACAAAAATTAGACCTGAAACAGTAAATCATAAGTTTCAAAATTTCACAAGAAATGTAGTCGATTTAAAAATCATGAGACACATGAAACCCAAAAGAACTTATAAGTTTCATGGTACATAAACAATTAAAAACACATTTTGTAGTTCTTGAAAGAAAACTTCCAACTTCAGTTATATGTCATAATTTGTAATCCAGATAATTAAGTGGCTAGAGGTTGAATAAAATTAGACTCAGCATTTAGCTCTACGCAAATTAATTTCAATAATACATGGAACATTTGTTCTACTTTTAAACTGTAAGTGAAAACAAAGAAATGAACAAAAAAGTTTCACACACACACACAGACAGAGAGAGGGAGAGATTTTTAGTTACATCATCAAAAACAAGAATTTTTCATAAAAGGGAAAGTGACTGAAACAGCTTCTGCAGATAATAACTTCAATTTTCTCAATGGCACCCCGTATTTCGGTTTTTTAAACTCTTTCATGGAAATTTTATGAGCAAGAAGTCTAATGAAGCTTAAATATTATGAAGTAATAGCTGAATCAGTATTAACCAAGAAAGATTCTTTTGGACTCCAGTTACCTGACAGTACCCAACAGAGGGGTTATGCCGAGCATATGCTAGCAGTAAACGCCGCAAGGAATTTCTGCCATTTTCATCCAAAGCAGGGTGGCCTGGGAAAGTTCGTGGAATATCCTGAGAATGAGAAGTGCGATTTAGTCTAAGGAGAGAGCCAACTTGCAATATAAAGCAAAAGATGCAGCACCTACAAATCAAAATAAAGTCCAAGGCGCATGCAGCTAATGACCTTCTCAATCTGCTTTCTCCATTTCCCTAATGCACCAGATGGGACATCTTGCTCCTTGCTTTCACCACTGTTAGTTTCTTGAGCTAACAGATCCTCATAATAGCTCTCCACCCGCCGTGTCTTCACACCTACAAAGGCTTGCCAGACCTGTAACAACAATATTGCAGTGTAGGGAAGGATGCAGTATTTTTTCCCAACAAAAGTAGGAAAGCTTAGAAAGCACCAATTTTACCTCTCCTCTAAGATCCTTTGGGACTCCTCCCTGAACAAGGGACTCCAGTTCTTTCCAAGGAGAGAAAAGTTCAGTTAAGTCTTGATCCACTAAAGCATTTTCTGCCTTTGAGCCATTCATACCATCATCTAGTGTCTCATTAGTGCAGGCCTCTTCCTGAATATCCTCCTCAGAAGCCCCTTCTACACGTTCAGATTCTTCTATAGATGGAAGGTGGTCGTTATTACCATTTCTCTGCTCACCTTTCATATTCTTTACCTTCTTGACACGAGAACTCAATATTTCTTCAATGGTAGTAAGAGACGGTCTAATTTCAGCCCAGCTTTGAACCTTACGAGTCTTTCTTTCTTCTGAACAGTGCAGTTCCTTTTCAGAATTATTTCCTGTTGAAATATCAGAAACAGACTTTCTGCCACTTGAATCATCCCCTTCACTAACCCTCCCTGGACTATTACCTTCTTTTATCTCAGTACCTCCAGAAGACTTCTGGCCACTTGTGTCACCTTCTTTGCTAACCCGATCTAGAATTGACTCTTCTATTACCTCATTACCTTCAACAGACTTCCTGCCACTTGAATCATCTATTTCACTAACCCTGACTGCACTAGTCTGTTCTTCTACCTCAGTACCTTCAGAAAACTTCCTGCTACTTGATTCGTCTCCGTTGCTTACCCTATGTGGGTCTCTCTCTTCTTTTACCTCATTACTTTCAGCCTTTGATGTTCCTTTATGTTCGTTCACAGGAGAACTTGGTTGAGATGATTTGGCTACCTGTTCAAGGAAGCTTCTCCATTTATCTGATCTTTCATCTTCCTCCTCCTGATATGGTAAACATATCAGTTTAGGGCTGATCGTTACATTGAATTTGTGCTACTTATTGGTAAAAATCAGTTCTCAGAATTGCAAAGGATAACATCATTATTTACTTAGCCTCCATTTTATACAGCATTGAAGGGCTAACATGCAATGTCTCCATTGCTTTTTTTTTCTTTTTTTTTTGCTATTCCAGGAAATTTGTTTCTTGAAATCATTAGGGGAAAAATGAAAAATTCAATATAATTTAATTTATTTCTTATGCTAACGCCCTACTGCACGAGCAACAAAGAGGCAATTTTTTGCAACTATTATGTCTATTCATATGGCTAAATACATCATGCATCTTTTATAACCAATATAACATTTATAAGTTATAACATGCCTCTTAGGTTAGCTTCTTCAAAAAATGCAGAGTATTTTAATTTCATAAAAGAGAAGATACAAGACATAATCCATTGGAAAAAGCATATAGTTGTTGTCTACTCTTGATCTTGTTGTTGCAACTAATAATTCTTAGACTATTAGCACAAAAATGTCAGTTACAGCCAAAGGTTTGTTATTTTTTACTATATAAGAAAAAGATTTGGGGGAAGAGGGGAATCTCCTTTGACTAATTACCCAATGAAAAGAACAATGTCCTTTGAATAATGCTGGACCTTAAAGTTCTTCCATTTAATAACACTGAAAGTAAGCAAATGAGTATACTTTTGTTCAAACAAAATGTGTTATTACATGGGATTGAAATATTAAACCTGGATCGGCAGAGACATAAAAGAAATAACTGAAGTATAATGGATACCTTGTAGATAAAAGAATACTCTTTGTATCTTTGTGCGTACTGAGGCCTTAATGCAAATCCATAAGAATCTCTGTAGATGTAGACGTGCAATTAGTGCTCTGATAGATAAAAAAGAAGGAATACACTACCACAAATTTCCAAAATCAGATATAATTCGTACACAATAGAAGAAATCATGTTACAGCACCGCAGTGAAAAAGCAAAATGGAATCCCCACAGAGAATACACACATATGCATAGCTTTACCATATACGTTACCTGGAATCAACCTCCAATGAGCGCTTACTCAGTAAGGACAACAACATACTTTAAGAAAAGTTGCAGTTCTACAGCCCATAGCTTTCACTATGAAAATCAAACTCACAATGCTAACGCTACCACCACATTTCAGACTCCAAAACCACAATACATAACATCCAACTACGCACGTTACACTGATTCTAAACAAACTCTGAACTAATGAAATTTCAGTTATCGTATTCCAAATTTATGATTGCGATAAAAACGGAGCCGATAAAGTGTTCTTTCTTAGTTGGTGTGAAGAGTAACTGCTACGAAGAAACGTTCCAAATTGGATCCGAGAACTAGCGAAGAGTTAGGGTTCGAGGACGCGTGTGATGATTATATTTTATATACGAAGATGAATGTGCATACCTATTGGGCTCGAAATTGTGGAGGAGGTTGAAACTGAAGTGCGTCATGTTCGGCTGTGTTGGCGCGAATATGAATCCGAAAAGAATGGGAGAGAAGAGAAGGATTACGGTTTCGGGAGTTTCGTTCGGAGGAAGATCAAATGGTAACTGAATCTTCCTTGTGTGTGTGTGTCATCGTCCTCGCATGCCGCTGGATTTTTCGAACTTGTAGTCGTTGTCGATGATGGATATCGTCACGTGTGATTTGAAGCCGCTAGAACATTTATTTATTTACGGGATGTTATATATATGGGTTTATCATCTATCATTTAACATACCACAAAAATTTTCCTACATACACAACATTTTGTGGGGCCCGCAGCAAAAAAAAAAAAAAAACTTCGGCACGCAAAACGAATCTCTATAACATAACACAATCATTTTTCCTACAACATAACTCTTATAAAACCATATATATATATATATATGATTTTATTTATTATCAAATCCAGTTGATTTCGGCTATAATGTAACGGTTATAATTCATTCAATAACACTTTTTTTAATAAATTATATACGAAGGTTATACTTACAACCTATTTTCGTTTACAACATCTTACAATTATATCTTTAATCGTTGATTTCCGATAATCATCGATCATTATTTTCGTAAATCAAACTCATTAATTAATTATTAATTTGTAATAAATAATAATCGTTGATTAGCAAAAATCAACGATTAAGATATGGTTGTAAGAGGTTGTAAATATAACCTCCTCTAAATTATAACCGTTAGATTAGCACAAATTTTATAATAAGAGATAGGCTTTAACGTTTCTACAATGAATGTTTCTACAGTTATCTACATTCACTCCCAAAATGACATCGTTTTTGGTTGAAAAATTAAAAAAAATTATAATGAAAAAACTTATTATAACCTTGAAATAAATTATAATTATAAAAATAACTTGATTTCCACCTTAAAACAACATCGTTTTGGGCTCAATGTAGATTTTCCTTTATTTATTTATTTTTTTGAGATTTTCACAGGTAATTCCATAAGTTCTCGATGAATTAATCTAGAGTTCGAGCTGAATCCAAAATTAAGGTTTTAAACCTTTTCAAAGATAATAAGGTTTTTTTTTCTTGGCTGAGTTTCAATTTGATAATATTTTCTCTTAAATTGTGTTTTGTTGACGTAAGCTGATTGAGTCAATTCAACTGTAATATCTTCATCACTTATTCATTTTCATTATCCATCTCCTCAATAACATCAGCAGGGGGTAACAACTCCTTTACTAGTGGCATGATCCTTATAACACCTCGTAGATTTAAAACACATAAATATACTTAAAATGAGGATTAAAGGGTAGAATTAGTGAAAATCCTGTGTTCTGGGTGAAAATACGTAAAAAGGGTAAAACGATAATTTGACAAATACGTAACTCTAAACAGTAAAATAATAGTAGAAGGTTTAAAATGAAAAAATAACCCTCGAAATGGATTCAGAACGAAAAATTGAGTGGTTAGGCAAGTTTCTGAAAATTTGATGAATATTGTTTTTACCGAATGAAAATACAGCGGTACAGATACACCGAAAAACATGTTTAGTGAAATTTGTGCTCTAGGTTTGAATATAAGTTGAAAAAGGTACTTAGGACCAAAAAATATGATTGTTGATGAAATTTGATGGATTTTTGGAGAAACGTGCCAACGGTGCACCACTAGGGGTAAAACAGTAATTTCACCACATTACCAAAAAACTCCGGATTTATCTGTTCAAGGGTAATTAAAGGACCTTGATGAATGTTAATTTTTTTATTTAATGGATAGTTCATGAATTAATTGAAGATTAGTGGTGAGATTGAGTGAGTTTAAGTGAGGTGACACTTGTCGGACCCACCCCCACTTAAGTGACTTATGAACACATGTAGAATCAGAATTTTTGGTCTTCTTCCTCCTCCAAACAGCCCCAATTTCGTGGCCCTCCATTGTTAGTGAAAAAGAAAAGCTCAAAAAAAATTCAAACAATCATAACTTGAGTTCTAGGTCACCAAATTGATTAATTTCAAATCCAAACTTGTGTAAAATCTTGAGAGAAACACATTACTACCCTTATTTTCAAGTGGGGACCATTATGTTAGGAGATCATGGCATGAAAAAAACCACGAAAATTTGAGGTGTTCTTGAGTGTTTATGGTTGTTTGGCTTGGATGAATGCTTGAATACCATTCCTATGGAGCTTGGGAGTGCATTTGTGGTAAGTATTTCCAATCTCATTGAATTTTGTTGATGATTTGAAAATAGGTATAAAATTTGAATATGTGTGAGTTGGTTGTGGTAATTGGAGGCATGTAATGATAGTGTCTCTTTGGAATTTATTGCTTAGAATGATGTCTTGGGTAAGGAAATCCAATAAAATTTTAAGGCATTTGGAATTGTTTAACATAGAAAAATTTTCTTGAATGAACATATTTTCTTGAAAAATAAGTTGTTGAAAAATTGTGTAATTGAGTTGTTGGTGATTTTAGTGTAATGCATGTGGATTGAGAGAAAAATTCCTTGGTTTCTATAGGGTATAGGTTCGGCCATATAGGGTAGTTTTGAAGGAAATTATGCAATTTGGCATTTGGATTGATAAGTTGATGTGGTAGGTGTTTGAATGAACTTGTGTGGACCTACGAATGAGCCTTTAACCTTGAAAAGGCAAGAAAAATCTCTAGCCCCATTCGTGTGGTACATTCAGCCATATTGGGCTTTCTTGGAGAAAATTATGCTAAGTGATGGTTTGATACAATTGTGGTATTGATATGGTGTTGTGGTTGAACAAGTAAACCATTGGAAGGATGAAATGAAATTAAAAAACATGGTTATAGGTAATTGGGCCTTAAGGGCCGAATTGAGTATTTGTGGGAAGATAGTTTATTGTCTTGAAATATTGACTTGTTTAACAAGTGGATTGATGATCATGTGTTGTGATCATTGTAGGTTGTCTCTCAACGAAATTCTAGAAGATTGAAGCTTGGAGCTTGTGGATTGCCTTTGGTCCCTGACCAAAAGAATATTGACATTTCTTTGTTGAAGAAAGTTACGTGGTAACTTGTGATTGAAGCAACCTAGCTTGGGAGCTTCAAAAAGGTAATGTATTGGTACTAGGGTTAATTCCCATGTGTGCTCCACCATGCCCATTGGGGTAGTGGTTGGAAGTTGTTTGTGCAATAATGTAATTATTACATGTTCATGCATTTATAAATGTTGGGTACATAGAGTTGTACCGTATCTCTGGCCAGTAGATAGTTGTCGTAAGGCGTTGGGGACTTCCACTAGAAAGGCCTCTGTAGGGAGTTCCAGTTGGCCTGTGGCCATAGAGATGTTATCCATTGAGGAGCACTCTAGAAATGTCTCAGAAGTTATGGTCGGGGGCGCCTTGAATGATGTTTCGAGAACACATTCTTGGATAAGAGCCCGTATGCTGTAGGCATGAGGCCAGTGGGACGGATGGGTGCATGTTTTGGCTCAGACCATTCCAGCTCCATCGTATATCTTTCTTTTCTATCTCCATGTCTCTCTAAATCCCTTTCTATATCCCTCTCTCTTTCTATCTCCCTATCTCTCTAAATCTCTCTCTATATCCTTATCTCTCTCTATAGTTATGACGCAATATTGTATTTTACATCTGAGTGAGCCATTGGGCGAAGTGATCCTCTAGAACCTTTGGATTACTGAGATATATTCATATATCTCACCCCGCATTTTGGGGCTATATTTCATGTGGTTGTAGCGGTTCAGGGAGTCCTAGGCAAGGGGGCCCGTGGGTTGAGGACATGTTGAGCATTTGGAGAGCATGACATATTATGCCATTTTGCATTTTGGGTTGTACATGATAGGCTAGACTTAGTGCATGAACATTTGGGTTGCATGAGTTATGTATACCATACTTTCGTTGTTCATGTAGTATTATTTTGGCTAAGTCTAGCATTGATGTATTTAATTGTAGTTATATTTGGAGAATTGTAATTAAAGTATTATGGATCTTGTGTAATTATAAAGTATGTATGTGATGGAAGGAAAATAAGCCTATTTTAGGTTATGAATTTATATGTCAAATGTTAAGAATGCATGAAATGGAATTATGTGATTGTAATGAGTTTTAAGTTTTAATGAAGTTAAGCAATGGATTGTAAAGATAATGATAATGATGTAAATTGTTATGGGTTGTAAGAGCACTAAGGCTTGTTGGTCCTTGTGTGCCACCCTTGTCAATTAGGTACCATTTGAGGTTTAAAACACACTTTGGTTAAAGTGGGATAAGTCAACTAAACAAAGGAGATGTCGTCGAAATTTATAATAAATAAGCAATTTTTATGCTAAATTTGGGAGAGCATATCTCCCTCTACAGAGGTCCAATTGGAACGTGCTATACACCATTTTAAAGGTTGAGATGTCAGATATGTTTTTTCAAAATTTGGTACCATTTAGAGTTTTATATCTCCCTGTAGAACGAAAAGAACACAGACTGCCAAAAGAGGTCCATTGCAGGGGCTGTTCGAGTCTGTGACTTCCACAAATTGTTTCTCCCTCAATTATTACTCAAATTAGCTTCATGATATATCAAATTAAATCTTAAGGTGTCTAGTATTCTGTATAAAAATTTGAGAGCAATTGATTTCGTAAATTATCCATAATTATAGAAATGGTAAGGGAGGTATGGTGCTCTGTTTTGGGTTGGCTGACAGTTTTGCTTGTCCAACTTCAAACAGTTATAATCAGAGCTAGAGAACTCCAATTGAAGCGTGTGATACCTTGTTGAAAAGATAATAGAGTCTAGTTTAATATAATAAAATATGGGAAATTAATGATAAGTATGTTGAGCACAATGATCAGAAAACAGAAGCTTGTTCAGTTATAGAAAAATCGTAAACAAAAAAGATTTATGCTAAGTGGGTTTATAGGAACCCCTTAGTAACTTAAAATAAGTAATGTATGATAATTAAGCATGTATTTTATTAATTCCGTGTTTAGAATTCAGTTATGATCATAACTTATGTCATTACGTTTTATATTATTTTCAAACGCTTACGTAATGAAAAGGAAAAAGTTTACCCGCATTTTTAAATGAACTGCTGTGATTGTAACTGCGCTTAATATCATATTCAATGTTAACAATATCGG